AGACTTAAAATTGAGACCCCCTGTGGACTGGGAATGAGTCGAAAGGAAAACTATGATTTTACTAGACATGATGCTAAGAGGACACCATCCTAAAGTGAACAAAAAAAGCATAATAACAACTACTCTGGGGAAGTAAAGAGGTATATGAGTTGTAAGAGACCTGACGTTGCGCGAGGATTGAGACGAATGAAAACTGAAACAGACAAGGAGATAGTCGCGTCTAATGAAGCGCGTAGAAGAATAAAGTTGAGGGCGATGAAAGAAGTGCGCGTAAAAATGGGAATAAAGGAAAAGTATGATGAAAAAAAGGGAAGGAACAAATGGAAGGAGAAAAAAGAGATACACAAATGTGAAAAGGTGTAAAAAGGTAAAAAGGGCGCACACAGGTAACAGCATGAACACGTCCGTCGGCATTCAAAATCGTGTCAATATGGAGAACGGTAGACAGTAAAGGGACACAATCGAAGAGTCGACGAGCGTTTGTTAAGTGGGTGGGGGCTTGAAACATGGAATGTCAGTACACTGTCAGCTGCAAAGATTATCAACTTGGCGCGCGCGGGTCAAAACAAGCATTGAAGTCCCCGTAGGATCTGTTCTCCCTGCATCTCACGCGAATCCTTAGAATACGGAGACAGAATATGAAAACAAACGCAGTTTTTGTATTTTATACACTCTCTTTTTCTCTTACACAAAAAAGTAAAAAAAGTACAATACAAACTGCATTAAATTGTTCAAGGCATTAAGTAAAGTACACGCTAAACGGAGACACTAAAATGAACCCATTTATTCCCAAGATTGATCAGAACTTAAATTCTCCTCACAAAATTAATGCACCGACAAACATGGTGTCAATAAGAATTAGAGAAAATCTAAACTAGCCGATTATTTTTCACTAGAAACGTCATGTTTCATCGAATTCTTAGAATGAAGCAACAAAGAAACACATTTTTATCAGTTGGGAGAATTTTTCTTCACAACTTGGGAGTTAATGAGTCAATGAATAAAAACTAAGGTAAATGAACAAATAGCTTCAACTTTAAATACAAATAGCATCAAAACAATTCACACCAAATACACTAACATTATAAAAAGAATGTTTAGTGGAAATTGTCCCAGCTTGTTTTTAAAATCCTACGTTACATCATATTCAACCATGTGCAAGGTCAACTATTACATTTGATACCAGCATATACCAATGGTAGTTAAGAAAATCTGTCAAAAATTAACATTGATTTTACAACTCGTTTGATTGAAAGCAGGCCGTTGTAGCCAGCTCTTTGACTTGTTGTAGGCCTTTTTCCTGAGAAATTTCAATTTTTGTTTCAACATTTGTAAGAGTCATATTAGAAAAGTCAAGCGGGCGGAAAACAATTGTAGGCCGGGCCCACGGGACTAGAGGCTGGCCACACCCCTGAGAGTAGATCTAATGTCTCTAACATATGGTCAGTAAATTCAACAACATCATCTCTGATGATTACTTCTTCAAATTATGCTTAGAATGGCAATCTTGGCACTGATGGAATTAGATTGCATTAAAATGGTTGAAAAAAAGTTGAAAATGATAATCGATTTTTTTGTAAAGATAATTGCAAATTGCAACAAAGTAATTTATGACGTAGAAAAACCATTAAGATCAATTCACATATGGCTGCAAATTTTGCAAATCACATTTTTGAAATTAAAATTTCGCCACCTTTTGCAAATGACAAACTGTTTCTTTGCTTTCAAAAGCTTAGAGTATCAACGTAATTAAAACCCGGTGGACAAGCTCCTGGTTGTGTACAAGAAAAAAATCTTTAAATTATTTTACACATGACTGATTGCAATAAAGGAATAGATCTGAGTGTCATTTTGGTGAGACGAAAACCTCGTAGTCGCCTTCAACAACTTCAGGTATTAACAGGAGAAGCCTTGTTGCATCTTGTTCTCTTCGCAAGCATCTAAATTTGTAAAGGTAAAAAAATAGCAATTCCACTGAACAAAAAATACTGAAATAGTCTGTTTAATTTCTTCACCAAAGTAAAGTCACACATCTTAAGTTCCATTTAACAAAAAATTGAAAAGTAATGAAAATAGCCAAAAAGCGCCAAAATGGAGAAGCATTTAAACCTTCCAAGTTCCTGCGTCGTTCATTTTGAGATGAAATAAAAAGGTTTCATTTATGTGATTTCATATTCAAATTTTCTCTTTCCTTTGCCATGAAGTGAAGAGTGACGTCATCTCCAATCAGCAGAAAGGGCGCCCAGTGTTTGATGTCGCAGAACTTGTCTGATTCTCTGAGGCTTTTCATGGCCAGGTTCAGTGACTCGCTTACTGGTTTACCTCCTGCAAGTTGTTGATAAAAGTACTTCATGAACTCAAGAGTAGCCTCGTCATCAATCGCCCAAAGGGACACCACAATAGACCGAGCACCAGCCCCCATAAAAGCGCGCGCAATGCCAACCACACCTTCAGCCTTGATCTCGCCCCGGCCGCTGTGGCAGCAACTAAGCACAACAAGTTTGGCCCGAAGTTGAGCATTCAACACATCTCTAATTGTTAAAATGTAATCCTCCTCCGTTGGCACAGTAGATATTCGCTGTGGGTCAGGTGTAAGAGCAATTTCGCCCGTTTCCATACATCCGTGTGCCGCAAAGTGAATTAGGGAAACGGAACTGAGTCTT